AAACAAAAGTGCTGTAGTAGCTGGGCACAGTGGTGCATATCTGTAATCCCAGAGGCTCCGGAGGCTGAGGAAGGAGGATTTCAAGTTCAAAGCCAGCCTCAGAAACTTAGAGAAACCCTTAGCAACTTAGCAAATCCCTGCCTCAAAATAAAAACATAAAAAGGGCTGGGGATATGGCTCAGTGGTTAAGCACCCATGAGTTCAGTACCTGATACCAACCAATCAATCAATCAATAAAATAAACCAACCAAATAGTTGCAGCAACAACAGAAACAAACCAGTGAGGGTATGTCATAAATATGCAGGAGCCAGCTTTAAGGAGCCTCCCCCATTGCCCAATTTTGGGAATATTTGAACACCAAAATATTTGACTACAGTGATGAATTATAAATCAATGAAAAATATAAATCCATAGTATAAACTGACAATCAATCAATAAGGGAGAAGAGAGGTTTCTTGCTTAAAGTGGAACATCAAATGCCAAATGATTGATGAAGTATAATTCTATAGTAGGAAAATCAGTTTTGTAAGTGTCTTAGTAAGTATTTAATTTTTAAAGTCATAAACTTGAATAAAATGGCAATTATTTTCAACAGAAAACAGATTGGATCAGGCAACAATTATCAAAGAATACTAAATCCAGGAAGAACTTTTTTATGAGGACAAGGATATTTGCATTGCTTTAAGGTGGTTCCTTGTAGAATGGCTTATTGCTTTCAAAGAAGAGAAAAATAGTAATTTCACTACAGAAAAATTTGACAATCTTTTGAACAGGTAATCAAAATTAACATTGCCTGAATACACAACCAGAGAAATTTCACATCATGTACAATCACAAGAATGAAATCCTAATTAGAATAAGTTATACTCTGTGTGTATAATATGTCAAAATACACTCTACTGTCATGTATATCTAAAAAGAACAAATTTAAAAAATAAAGTAATTGGTCCAAAAAACTAACATTGTCAATGAATGACAGGTGAACATTATATTCCTCCAGATATGATACCCTGCAAAGGACTCAACATCAGCCATGGAAGCTTCCAGTCCAGAAAACATACCTTTATATACATACAATGGGATATTAGCTCAGCCTTAAAAAGTAAGGAAATTCTGACTCATGCCACAACATGGATGAACTTTGAAGGCATTGTGAAAAGTGAAATAACCACACACACACACACACACACACACACACAAACAAAGACAAGCATTGCATGATTCCACTTAAATGAGGTACCTAAAATAGTCAAATTTGTGGAGAAAGGAGAAAGGTGGTTACCGAGGGCTAGGGAGAAGAGGTAATGGGAGGCTATTGTTTAACCCATTTTGTCCCATCATCCCAGATGTGGAACATCTATAAAAACTTAAATATAGTATTGAATATATACCATATATTATATAATAAAAGGAAATATAGCAACTATAATAATATTAATATTATATATATTCTAGATTATTATTTCAACCCTATTTTACTATGAGTGTGTGTGTGTGTGTGTGTGTGTGTGTGTACTGGTGATTGATCCCAGGGTTACTTTATCACTGAGCTGCATCTGCATCTCTTTTTATTTTTATTTTGAGATAGGGTCTCACTGTATTGCTGAGGTGGGCCTCAAACCTGGAATCCTCCTATCTCAGCTTCCCAAGTTACTGGGCTTATAGGAATGCACTACCACACATATCTCCTTTTACCATATTCTTTAGGAAATATACATTGGAATATTTGGGGGGAATGGCCATGACATATGATACACTCCAATAGTTGAGAGAAAACATATAGATACATAGAGAAAACACACAAATGATAAATCTCATGGGATAAAAAATTAATAAATGGGCTTGGCACCATGGTGCACACCTGTAATCCCAGTGACTAAGGAGACTGGGGCAGGAGGATGGGGAAGTTCGAGGCCAGTCTCACCAGCTTAGTAATGTCTTAAGCAACTTGGCAAGATCCTGTCCCAAAATAAAAAATAAAAGGGCCAGGGATGTGGCTTAGTGGCAAAGCCCCTCTGAGTTCAATCCCTAGTACACCCCAAGTGTACACAAGGGTCCTTTATACTATTTTTTTGATATCAGGTATTAAACCCAGGGTCACTTAACCACTGAGCCACATCACCAAACTTTTCTATATTTTATTTTGAGACAGGTCTTGCTAAGTTTCTGAGGCTGGCATCAAACTAGTGATCCTCCTTCTTCAGCCTCCTGAGCTGCTGGGATTACAGGTGTGCTCCACTGCACTTGGCCTGGCCTCCTTTATACTATTCTTATTCTGGCACTCTTTATGTAAATTTGAAATTGTTTGCAAATAAAATGTTAAAAAATAAAACAAAATATTAATACCTTCACAAGTGTACTTATATTATATTTTGGTCATGACTCCACTAGTCTGTGAGCAATCACAGACATGGATTTTGTCTTATTCATCATTGCCAAGGCCTGGGTGTGGGAGAATGCCTTTGTGTGTGTTATGAATGTTTGTTGATTGACCAGAAGCTTCCAAAAATGAATACCTCACAGAAGATTACTGATGAGGGTTATTTCCTGGGTGATAGTTTAGATAAGGGTTCAGGTATGCTAAGGATTTCTGCAGGTACACCTACTAACAACTTTTATAGGTCTCTTGATGTTGTTTCTTCTTCCCTTCAGAAACTTGTTTGATATGCCCTATATCAGGCACACCCTTGAAGAAGCATGTACCCTGGATTCCTCAGCTCAGAGTATGTTGAGAGTTTCCTAAAGTCCAAACAATTTGGTGTGGGCTATGTTGAAATTTACCATCTCCTCTTATCTCTGTAATTGAGCAGACACCTTGAACACTCCCACACCACCTTCACAAAATGATATGATTTTAAGCCACAAAGAGGTCACATGATCTTCTGAGAAAGATATCCAAAAGTGTGCCTGAGTCATTACGTCTGCCTGTAATTAAGAGAGTGACTCATAAGTAATCCATGATGGTTAATTGTTACTACTGCTTATAATTTTTTTCATCCATTCATTAAATAAAAAAAATATTTGCTGAGTATCTACTGTTTGAGAGATAGTGTTCTGATCCCTGAGGATATGTCAGTGAATAAAATAGGTAAGTCTCTGTTCTCATAGTATATAGTAAAGGAGACAGAAATTACACAAGTAAGCATGTCAGAGATCACCTTTGTAAAACTCAACATTTTAAACTGATATTAGAGTGATGGCTCATTGATCTAGCTTTGGTTGTGACAGGTCCCAAGTTCAAATACCAGACGAGCCTGCCTTTCTTTTCAGCCAGGCGTGGTGGTGCACGCCTATAATCCCAGCAGCTCAGGAAACTGAGGCAGGAGGATCACAGAGTTCAAAGCCAGCAACTGCGAGGCACTAAGCAACTCAGTGACACCCTGTCTCTAAATAAAATACAAAGTAGGGCTGGAGATGTGACTCAGTGGTCGAGTGCCCCTGAGTTCAATCCTCAGTACCAAAATATAATAATAATATTAGTGTTTCAAAACACTTTTTATAGAATGAGAATAAAATTGATTTCTCCATAATTTCAGAATTACTTACAATTGAAATCGTAAGTAGGTCTTGATATCAATAAGAAGTCTTGGTCTGTTACCTCAGAAACATCCTGGAAATCCTGACCATTTGATGTCTGTCATACTTAGCTCTTAAGAGATGACCTGGTCTTTTTTTTTTTTTTTTAAGTCTCTTTTATTTTTCATTCTCTGGAGGCATGAAGTGAATTTGGCAGGATTCATTAAGCCTCATCCAATACCTGTCGTTTACTACCTCATCAACACTCAGTTCTGAATGCATCTACTTCAACTTTGTCCATTATTTTCTAAATAGTTTTAACCATGTTAAACCACACAAAAATCTTATCAGTCTCAGAAAGTTTTAACTACTTTTTCTTTTAATTATTTTTAGTTGTAGATGGACACAATATATTTATTTTTATGTGGTGCTGAGGATAGAACACATGTGAGACAGGCACTCTACCACTGAGCCACAGCCACAGCCCAGTTTTAACTACTTTTGAGGTCTGGATTATACAACATTTTTATGACTATCCCTACTTGCATGAGCCATTATGACCAGGTGGAAATCAGTGAACTACTTATTGTAAACATGCCTCAGGGTTACTTCCATGTTAAACAACTATATTTTTGTCAATAATCATCAAATCAAAAGGACAGGACTGGTGTGGACATAAAGGGTTTCCCTTTAGGCTAAGGCTTCAAAGAAAAGGTACGGGATGCTCAATAGTCCTAGAAACTAAGGCCCTTGATCATTCATTGGACATAGGGCATGTCAATCTTCTCTTTTCAGCAAATGAGCTTAGAGCGTGTCACAAGGGGCCGCAACCCTTTGTTGACAGTTCTGAACCCGCCTCATCACCTTCCGTTGGGAAGTTTTCATTCTTATTGGGGGATCTTCTGAGGCTCAGACTTGGTTGACAACTCCTGGGGCCTGGGATTGACCCCCTGCCCTTCGAGTAGTGAGGCCTCGTCAGGCACCACCCACAGACTGCTGTCTTCTTGGAAAGAGGCTTCTTTGCCCCCTCTTTCCCCTCCCCTCTGTGGCAGCCTGCTAGACAGCCACCATCTTTGCTGTCAAAGTTGCCCCACTCCGATCGCAGCTCAGTTGAGGTACCGATTGGTGTCATGTCTGCCACAAGGAATAGAAACCGTACCCGAGAGGGCCGAAACAGGCGGGTAAGCCCAATGGGAGAGTGGATGGGGCTGTTGGAGTGGGTGAAGGGATGGACCGCGACTTGGGCCCAGATGTGGGTGACATGGCACCTGAGGCCATCAAAGCCCAGGTGACTGGGCCTGGGGTGGTGGAGGTCCCAGAGCCCAAGGGAGGCCCCAAGGAGGAAGAGGGAGCCCAGGCCCCAATCCTACCCAGAGCCTGGGAGGGTGGGGATGCGGAGGAATACTTGGATGTTGGGCCAACAGAGGAGGAGGGAGGGGACCTGGCAGAGAGCCAGGATATCGTAGTGGACACCTGTCAGTTGCTCATGCTTGGCTTCTGGTGCATGTTCCTGGATCTGGATCATTCACTTCTGCACCACATCTACTACAATTACCATACCCTGCTCCAGTCCCTTCGCAGCCAAGTGAACCAGCGATCCCGATCCCGCTCAGCTGTGTTAAGCAACTCAAATAAGCGCCAGGTGATGCAGATGCCCCAGAGACGAAGAACGAGGGCCATGACTCAGATGATCCAAGGCGAGAGCCAGGGCCAGGGCCAGGGCCTGGGCCTGGGCCTGGGCCAGGGCCTGGGCCTGGGCCTGGGCCTGGGCCTGGGCCTGGGCCTGGGCCTGGGCCTGGGCCTGGGCCTGGGCTTTAGCCTGAGATTGAGTCTGAGCCAGCTGGACACAACCGCCTCTATCCCAGTGGCCCAGCACACAACACAAAGCAGCATAGCAATTCAGGATCCAGAACAGCAGGCAGAAGAGGTGGTGGAGAAAGAACAGGCGGAGGAGATCACCGCACAAATCACCGATGTGAGAGGTGAGGAAATGGTGGACCCACAGCTGCAGAGGCGCTAGCTGGTGAGGCAAAATGGGAAAGCACTGACCTTGGGTAGGGAAGTGGTGGGTCCTGACCTCCTCCAAATTAAGGCCGAATGTGCCAGGTTAGAAGCCCAATTCAAAGCAACCTTTGCAGTTTTTTTAAAAAAAAAATATGCTGTCCTTTACCAACCTGTATTTAATAAGAGTTGGGACTGTCAATGCGATTTGCCAGCAGACAGATGAATGTCAGGTGTTCAGGAGGGAGCTCGGGAGGAAATGGAAAGAACCCTGGAGGAAAAGAAATAGCAAAGGGTGCACTTCCTCTTTGGTTCACAGCTTTTGAAAGTGAAAAGGGTCTTAGAAAGTTGAGCCTAAAAATGATTTGGGAGCACTTGGTTAAAAAGACAGGTTCTGGGGTTAAGGAAACAATTGGCTTCACTGCAGAATTTGTCTTTGAGACAAACAAGTATTTTCCCAACAAAGTTCTGACCAAAACATTGAAAATGCAAACTGACCCAATCACTCTGACCCTTTCTTCCCTAAAGGAGAAGTAATCAGCAGCATTAGGAGGGAGATTTCCTGGGAAGAGGGGAACATGTCACTGTGAAAATGATTAAACAGAAGAAATATGAGGGCCATGGAAGGGTGATGTCAACCAGCAGGAAGGTGCCTGGCCATGTTTTCTTAGCTACTTCTTCTTGCTTCTCCTGAGGGGAGATGATTGGTGCTGCTGCTGGGTATGAATTGGGCTAGTTTTTCCATCTGATCTCACTGTTTGTATTATTCTTCACCAAAGAAATAACTAAATATGAGTATGAACACCTGAATGAAGACAATGAAGACTTTGTCATTAAGAAAGAGATGAAAACAGAGGAAGAAAATAAGAAGGAAAATGAAAAACAAGGAGGACTTGAATAGGAACCTGATCTGGTAGATAGCAACCCCAGAAAATTCAGGTATCTGTGTATAGCTTTGGGTATCACTCAAAAAATCCTGACATTTATCTGTTACTAACAGCTTTAAATTTTTAAAATTCTAGTAAATTAATTAAGTTTATTTAAAATTACATAAAAACTCAATTTAACTTACTAAGAATGTTACTAGAATAATCATGTAGCTAGTAATATAAAATATAGTACGTTCTGAAAAGTACTTCATGGCTATTCATCTGTTCTTGTAGGATCGTTTGTACTCTAGCTGTAAGACTACTATCAAGTGGTAAATATATCAGACTTAGTACCTGAGACCAATATCCATTAAGGAAATTTACCAGAAGCAGCAGCTAAAGTGGCTGGGCCAGGCACTAGTGGGGTCTTCATTACTTGGCCATTTAAATGGAGTTTCCTATACTAAATAGGATGCAACAGCTTACAGAATGTGACTACTAACAAATAGCAAAAGTTATGAATTTCAAGTAGGACCATATTTAATGGTTAATATCTAAATATGCATTTTGCTAGAATTTTTTTATATTTTATGTCAGTCAAAAGAAAGGAAACTTACAGTTCATAATTTATGACTGAGTTGATAATTAAGTCTTAAGGTATATGTCTTTCAGCATATTTAGATGCTCAACATTTTTCTCTTCTGTTTTTGCATTTTCATAGTTGTGTATTTTATAACAGCCTCTTTCTCACAGGGTACATGTGGAAACCAAGGATCTGGGAGGGTAAAGGAATACCATTTGTGGTACCACTAGAGGTTTAAGAGATTTATTTAAATTCCAGAATGGCCACTCAAACAAAAACACTACAAAACGTGCGTGCACACACACATACAACACAATTTTTGATGTTAGGCACAAAGGAAACAAGGTTGGTATGATCACATGATTGAAGCCATCAGTTTGACAAACACTCTGATATCCAAGCATGCACACTTTAAGAGGAAAACGTGTTCTCTACTTGATATATAGCACACAAATGCAGAAAATATACATAGGAATGTTACACTTAGAAAATCATGGGTGCTGGTTAATGTTGTGTAACTGTTTATTTTTTGTCATTTCATCCTGCAGTTAGGAGGAATAAAAAGAAGATAGAAAAGAAGAAAGAATCTGTTGTTCACTGTTTTTAGGTTTTTCATTATTCAGAAGCCCGTGGGAATTGTAACACTGATATTTTAATGTTCATCATCCTAAAAGTGATATTCTATGAAAAATACCTTTTTCTTACCTGTTGCAGTTATATTTAATGATGCTTAATAAAGTTAAAAGAAGGGTTTGTTTGAAATCAATAAAGAGAAATACGGGCAGATTTTGTTTCCACAAACAATCCTGACTCAAATCTCTTTTATTTCTTCATTTTGGGCCCCTTACCCTATTGAAAGGTAAACCTGTTTAAACTTGTTTTACTTTGGCCAAAAACAAGTTTAAAATGAAGTTTAAAATAATTTTGGTAAAGAGAAAGATGGAGGACAAGCCTTTAGAGCTCTGTTGCCCATTAGTTTAGTCACTAGCCATCTGTAGCTACTAAACATGAAATTTTACTAATCTGATTTGATATTTGCAGTAGTTGTAAAAAATAGTGTAGCATATCTTATTAATAATTTTAATATTGATGACATGTTGAAATGATCATATATTTAATTAAAATACAGTTTTGAAACTTTGCCAGTTTATTTTCTAATGTGTCTACTAGAAGATTGAAAGTTCCATATGTGGATTTCATTATATGTCTACTAAACAATCCTGGTCTAGTGAATAGTTTTGAAGGAAATTTCATGAATGGCCCAGGTTGTCTGGAGGCCACATGGTGCTACTGAGCCTGAGCCCAGACTTTGACTTGGAGCAGTAGTTTTTAAAGTTTGTTCCCTAAATAGCATCATCATATTACCTAGGAATTCTTAAGCTCCACCTAGGATCTACTGATTCATAAACCCACAGAGTGAGGCCAGCCATCTGTGTTTTAAACAGCCCTCCAAGGGATTCTGATGCACAGTAATGTTTGAGAACCACAGGCTCATAACAACAGAGGAAGCATCTGAGACTCACCTAAACTAAGACCAGCCTTAATTCACTGTCTTGGAACTGTTGCAAGTAAACTGAATGGGATGGCATGGACTAGACTAAAAGGAGACACAGGGGCAAAGATTGGGTGATAGCAACAGAAAAATGCATAAGAGAAGAAGCTAGTTCCAGAAGGATGTAAACATGATATCATATATGTAAAGCCTAGGAAAACACAAATGATATATAGAGAGACTAAAAGGCATGCATGTGAGAGATGCATACAAATGTAGCATACAGAAAGGTGTGTTTTGAAAAGATAAACACATTTAAGATGGGAAAGGGAGGGATTTTTCTGTGGAGAATTCCATGGTAGATATCACCCCTATTGTAGTTTTACATTTTGTAAGCTGAGTGGTAGATACAGAGATATTAGTAGCATTTTCTATAATTTTATGTAGTTCTTAAATACTACCAAAGTAGTAGAAGGGGAGCAGCTCTTCCTACACTAGTGGGGCAGGACTTAAGGAAGTCCTAGAATTCTAAATCCTATAATGGCCTCATGTCATTGTAAAGGTACATTTGTCACAGAAGAAGATAAACCATAAGTAAAACATGTTATATGAGTTGATTTAAACTTGGATCTCCAAATGAATTCCTGTCCTCATGAAGCCAGATTTAAAGATAGGTAATCAGTGTAGCTAGGTAAATTGAATTAGGTCGGATCTAGAAGGCCAATTTGAGTGAGTTTGGGAAGTTGGAGACTGTCCCTTGAGGGATCTTATCAAGTACCTGTCCCTGCTCCAACCTGTTGCCAAGGTTACCTGTCTGTCCCAGGAATTGCCCCCCCCCCGCCCTTACAGAGAGCTATAAGGTTGTTAATGTGTCCTTGTCTACTCCACCTTGCCCTTCCTCCTTTAGCCCATGTATTTCCCACCTTTCGGCCATCCCACCAAGCATTCCTGGGCCTACTCACATATGCAGGAAGGAGAAAGATAAGGGGGGAAAGGCAGAACAAAGGAATCCTAGGACATATAAAAAGGGCAGAACACCTAGCCTCTTGGGATACCAGGATACCAGCTATGGTCCCCTTCTCCCTCCCGGAAGAAGTCCATGTTGCCCCTTTTTAAATAAACCCTGCTTCATATGTTTGCCTCAGCGTGCCTCTCTAATGTTCAAACTTCAACATGTGGGAAAGCAGGACTCGTCATGGATAACCAGCGGTATCACTAACCAAGTTAAATATCTGGCTGGCTAGGCTAAATATGTGATCTAATACTCTTTTTCTCTCCCTCACTACATGCTTCACCTTGTTGTCTGAGCACAGTGGCCCCATGCTTCCAAAAATATTGGGTTCTAGGAGTTCATCTTGCAATAAGACTTAGAACTAGTTCCTGAGTGAGACTGGAGGACAACCGCCAATAATTATGTCCCTTCTACTCACTGTCAGAGGGAGACAAGATAACCAGCCAAGCCAGAAGCTATTTGAATTTGAAAGTGACAAGTTGTTTTTTTTTTTCTTTTTGGTCTCAAAGAAGTTCTATACAATTTATATTTTAAATGTAAGCCTAGGAGAGAGAGAGATCTAGCAAAAGCTAAGAAAACAATAGAGATGCCTTTTTTTGGATCCTAGCTGTCCCATATTTTAGACCCAGCTATAAAGTCATATTCCTCACCTTCCTTTGACTGCTACATAGCCTCAGGAGCATTCCCCCATCTGATCAATGAAGAGAAGTTCCCCTGTGTCCAGTCCCTGATTGGGCCCTGTTCAGATGCCAACTGTCAAAGCCTCACCCTTCTTTGACTGCCATAGCCGTTAATTTAGGAACCGGATGTGGGGTGATGAGGGGATGAAGAAAAGACAAAGAAAATAAAAGGTGGTGCTAGGTGATTCAGCTAAGCCCTGGTGAGGCTTGACTGGCACCAGAGCTAGCTCAGCACATTTGTTTAATAGATTTTAGGTTGTGGCTCAGCGGTAGAGTGCTCATCTAGCACGAGGCACTAGGTTCGATCCTCAGCACCACATAAAAATAAATAAAGGCATTGTGTCCAACTACAACTAAAAACAATATTTTTTTTAAAAAAGTTTATTTGTGGGAAAGTTTCAGCAAAGCAGGCAATCTGAAGGATACAGAACTGGTGAGACATCAGGATCGTCTTGTTTTGCTCAGAATCCTCTATCCCTGGGAGTTGGTATCTGAACTCAAGGCCTTGATTGATAACTCTGGCCTTTGTACAAAGTTTTCTTGGGCTGGCATCACCATAACAACTGGGGAATCTTGATCTCTACCTTCACACAGGCAGCTCCTGGCACAACTGTAGACACAAGAGAGTCAGAGGCCATGATTGGATTCATTGCTCTCCACAACTCACCCTTTACTCATCTCTCTCTTTCCTCCCCAACTATTCATACACAAAACTTCTTTAGTAGCAGTATTTCCTTATACCAGTGCCCAACTAAAGGCCACAGGCTTGGTCAGGTGCAACTCTGTAGAGGCCCTTTATGTGAAGCAAAACCTCTTAAGAACACCTTAAATCCTTTGAATACCTTCAGGTCTCAGTTGTCAAGATCCTATTTGACTTCCCTCCCCAAGTCACATACAAACAGAGACATACTACAGAACAGGTTCTGTTGTATTTGTTTGTGGTTGCTATTACAAAGATCAAGGAAGCTATAAAGAATCTGAAAACATGTCAGAATGTGCCTTTTGTCATTAAAAAATAAACAATTGAAGAACTGAACTTTGTTAACTGGAAAATAAATTATTATATTTTTCTCCTTCCTTTTTTTGGGGGGAAAGGGGGTACCAGGGATTGAACACAGGGCACTTAACCACTGAGCTACATCCCCAGCCCTTTTTTATTTTTTTTTTATATTGAGACAGGGTCTCGCTAAGTTGCTTAGGGCCTCACTAAGTTACTGAGGCTGGCTTTCAACTTGCGATCCTCCTGCCTCAGCCTCCCAAGTCACTGGGATTATAGGCATGTGCCACCAAACCAGGCTGAAAAAGAAATCATTAATGGAGAGTTCACAGAGTGAGAATTACCTAATAGAAGTCCACTCTGAGAAAAGAGGGAAGGGAAGTGTAACAGAATGGGTAAAGGGCATCTACCTAAATGAACTGTTTACAATGGGAATACAAAGGGAATAAAATCCAGTCAATCGAAAACCTGGTCTTATTGCTCCAACTTGAGGCCTTAAAAAAGGAAGAACAAACTATTTCCAAAATCAGTAGAAGACTGAATATAATTAAGATCAGAGCCAAAATTAATAAAATTGAGAATTAAAAAAAAATACACAGGGTCAATGTAGAGTTAATTCTTCAAAAAAATTGATAAACCATTAGCTAAACTAACCAAAAGCAAGAAGACTCAAAAAAGCAAAATTAGAGATTAAAAAGGAGATATCACCACAGACACTTCTAAAATCCAGAATATCATTAGAAAGTATTTTATTTATTTATTTATTTATTTATTTAGGGTGCTGGGAATTGAACCTATGGACACTTTACCACTAAGCCACATAAAAATAAATAAAGGCATTGTGTCCAACTACTCAGTCCTTTTTAATATTTATTTAGAGACAGGGTCTTGGTGAGTTGCTTAGGACCTTGCTAAGTTGCTGAGGCAGGCTTTGAACTTGTGATCCTCCTGCCTCAGTCTCCACAGCCACTAAGATTACAGGTGTGTACCACTGTGCCTGGATGTTTTTAAAATGTATTCTCCAGTAAACTGCAAAATACAAAAGACATTGACAAATTTGTAGACACATATGACCTGCCCAAACTGAATCAGGAAGTTACTGAAAACCTAAACAGACAAATATCAAGAAATGAAATTGAAACAGCAATTAATAGCCTTCCAACAAAGAAAAATCTCAGGAATAGACGAATTCTCAGGTGAGTTGTAGTGAAGTTTTAAAGAACACCAAAATTTCTCATATATGAAATTGAGCACTCCCTAATACACTCTAAGAAGCCAGTCTAACCCCAATACCAAAACCAGATAAAGATACATCATAGAAAGAATACTACAGACCAATATACCTAATAAACATATATGCAAAAATCCTTAATAAAATATTAGCAAACTGGGGCTGGAGATGTGGCTCAACCGGTAGCACGCTCGCCTGGCATGCATGCAGCCAGGGTTCGATCCCCAGCACCACATACAAACAAAGATGTTGTGTCCGCCGAAAACTAAAAAATAAAAATATTAAAATTCTCTCTCTCTCTCTCTCTCTCTGTTCTCTCTCTCTCTCTCTCTCTCTCTCTTCTCTCTCTCTCTCTCTCTCTCTCT